TTTGTCCAAATAATTGGAATACGCACCACTGAGCATTTATTACTGTCTTGTGTAATCTTCCCTTATGGATGTTTAGCAAACAATGGCCACACTAAACGTTATTAGATTATCTTACGTTTGAATTTCAAGCAATCTGAATGCAGATTATTATACTCTTTAAATAGGTATTTTCAGTGAAGGTCTGCTCGAAAATTGCGCACAAAGCTCCGAGGCGCATGGTGATACTATGTTCTTTAAAATTATTTCATAACAAAGTCAGAGCTCAGCCTTTGTCATTATGCGAACTCGATCCTGCTAGCGCTTGTCAAATTTGCTTATTCCAATCTAACGTATCAATTCATCATGCTCGGAAGATGCTAGGCAGAACGATATATTTCGGTCACTTGTTGTTAGTGATTCGGATCCATTTTATTCACCAAAAGCATTGCTTTAGCTGTTCCTAGAGCCTACAGAAGATAGTTGACCTCTTTCTAGTCGTTCCAGGTTGCATTTGACCTGCTCTTCGGGAGGCTTCGTGTTTACTAAATTCTGGGCCACTATGCAAATTTGTATATGATGGCCAGGCCTGGCAACATTTATATCTCCTATCCCAATTTATGCTGACTTAGTTTGGAAAAAAAATTTGCATTCACTTTGATGTTTGGATTACGTCTTGCCTTTGGTTCCATTTGGTCTCAAATATTATTCTATGTCATATAATTGTTATTATGTTACAGACATATGAAACAGGTGTCTTTGTGCAGGAGATTAGCTCACAACCTCAGCATGTGTTCTCATGCATTTCTGCTCCTTCGCCTGGGATGTGATATCTACACACTTAATGTATAGCATTTTATATATATACTCAATTCTTACCCCTTAGACACCAAGCTTTTCCTGGGCTTGAAGGACTTTAATTTAAAATTTTATTATTAATTGTATTCTAGAACTCATACATATTGTAGATGCGAATTGGTGTTGCAAGTTGGGCCCAAATGCTCGACACTATCTTCACTTTTTTGAAGCTCTTCGTATGGTCACTCATTTCAAAGTCAGTATGAAACATACAATCTTTAACTACATGTTATTATTATTATTATTTCAGGCGCCGCTCTTCAGGCTTGCCAATTGGCCAGCCGAGTGCTATTCCCGACCAGTCTGGTAGTGGCACCAATGACTTCCGGAGCCGGGGTAAAACACATTTCGTCAATGTCTATGTTGGCAGATGGGCTCACGTCGTCCGAACGCGATTACCTTCAGGCCAGTCTGGCGCCTACTTCTGGCTTCCTGCCTGTCATCAGATCGTACGATAGTGCAGAACTCGCCTCTTTTCTCTCTACCACCGGTTCCAATCCTCCATGGACGTCAAAGCGTCTCTTTCGACTACTTTTAAGGGCAGATTATGACAGCTACGGCTCGATTGCATTCTCGAAAAATGGCAGACGGCGACTTCTAGACTGCCTCATTGATCGCGGTCTCAGCCTCAACAACGTACCCTTACTCAAGCCAAATTCCGCTGGTCTGTCTGACCGGTCGTCTGAGGTTGCTACCGGATTGAGCGCTGATGGTATGACCGACAAGGAGCTCGAGAAAA